TTAAGCGAAATTTCTAGGGTTTCAAGGAGATTCACATTTGTTAATAACTTATGTTCAAGTCAAACTAGTAAAATTAAAAAAAAAAGTGTAAAATTCTAAACAATTTTAAAATTAAAAAGAATTAGGTTTTGACCAAAAAAATATGTTAAGTTAAGACTTTTCCTTTTTTTAGTTTAAATAGAAGATAATTTAATGCAATTCTATACGTTTACTTTTTCAATCCTGCCCGCGAATTAAGAAAAATCGTAAAAATAAGAAACCGAGAAATCGAGCTTCAAAGTTTTCACTTTCTGCCCAAGCGCTCATATAACTTCCAGACGCTCGGTCACTATTTCCCTTCCAGCTTCGACAATATTTCGAATTCCCATCTATAACTTTAGGGATATATTTCTTAGATAATTTTTAAAGAGATTTAAGCAGAAAAGCAGGCTCCCCTTTTAAAGAAGATTTACAAAACATAATAAACGTAATTTAACTGCCTTATGCGTCTTTAATCATTCGATAAATGTTATTTCTTAAAATCTTTCTTTAATTCTGAACTCAGGATTGCTTCCAAAAGTATTAATTTGCAAGTTTTGTCATATTAGTAAATAGTTGGTTCGAATATTGGTTTTGCATATGTTCGAAAAGCCGAAAATCCAATCAGATTCTGTGACACAATTGATAATCAGAATTAGTTTGCAATTCTGACTTGGAATTCTGTCTTGGATTCCACAACACCCCTGGATATTTCATCCCTTTAAGTAGATATAATATATAAGTCGTTTATTGTATGTGTGTATATTCAGTATTTTTTTTCAATATGACAGTTTCTAATATAAACTTGTGAGAAGTAAATATTATATATGCAAATACATATGTATATCCATATGGAATTTAGCCCATACAAGGGTAAAACTACGCCACTTCTAGCAACACACGCAATCCCAGAATAAAATTATGCGAATGCGCTAGCAAGGAGCACACGGCTGAGTGGAAAGTTAGCAGACTGATCATCGGGCGGTTAATACAGGACTGTGCCCCCGTACACAAGTCCGACGCCAGACTCAGCAATGAGTCGATCCTATAGTTAGGCTTGGTACACTGAGTTGTGAATGCTGTCTGTTAAGGGTGAGCAGAGTAAAGAGGTGATCCTCTGATCGACTCGACGCAGCAGGATATCGTCGTCACAGGTAACGCGCTGGCGAGCCAGGTTAAACCGCAACTTTGTCATATCCTCGAGTGACGACACTACATCGTGGAAGACACCTTTAACCCTTTCGATCCGAACGGGTCCTAAGTGTCCCGGTGTATTTTCAAAGATACCTAGCGTATAAAGTAAGTGGTTAAAAAAGTTGAAATTAGTCCCTTTTCGTAGCTTATACTATTCTTAACGGTATTTGTTTACATTCGTGGTATTTTAAATTAAAAACACGTGTTCATTTGCCAAAATAGAACGAATGGTTGGACGCGTATTTCATAATTCGCAGTGAATTTTTTTGATATTTGTAAGTTTACTGGTTTTAAATCAACTGAAACCTTAATAAATAGCTGTGTTAGTGTTTTTGACATATTGTGAAGTTGGTAAGTACTAACATTATATTGTTTTTTTGTAATTATTGATATTTATAAGTTTGTGGGATATATGTGTCCCATCAGTATTCTTGTTGGACTAAAGATAATAATTTTATAACTTTTGTACAGACTAAAAATGTCAAAATCAATAGATCGCAATATGATTGCTAATATCTTGGAGTCTTCTGATGAAGGTGAAGACTTTTCGGGACTTAGTAGTGAAGAAAATAAGCCTACAGATGGTGAGGAGTCTACTACTGAAAGCAGTGATGCTGAGTATATCGATCATCAAGACGAGGATGTAGGAGATAACTTACAAGAAGTAAACTCTACATACACTTTTTATAATACCATTTGGTCTGTTCCCAATGTGGCTTTTGTTCCAAGAAAAACAGTAAAATAAATACAATGCTTACAGATATTGGAGAAATAAAGATTGTTCTTGGTTGTATGATCATTATGACATATAATCGTCTACCATCCATTCGACACTATTGGTCAAAACATTATTCTATGGGAAACGATGCTATAAAATCAGCTATTACACGGGATAGATTTCAGCTATTGTCATCGAAAATGTATTTTTCTTCACCTGAAAAGCCAGAGGGAGCATCTAAACTATACTATATTGAAGATATGTTGGAGTGCCTCTAATCTCGATTTTTAAGCTCAAGGATGGAAAGTGCATACCAGAGTATTGACGAAAGTATGACGAAGTTCAAGGGCCGATCTTCTATGAAACAATATTTGCCCTTGAAGCCCACTAAGCGTGGGATTAAAATGTGGCWTAGGTGTGATGCTCTTACCGGCTATACCTATGACTTTAATATCTACTGTGGTAAAGAAGAAGGAGTTGTCGAAGGAACTCTTGGCGAACGCGTAGTTAATAAATTATCTGCTACAATACAAGAAACTGATGTCACATTATGCTTTGATCGGTTCTTCACTAGTATCAACCTCCCTGAAAATCTGAATTATGCCGCGTTAGGAACTGTTATGCCAAACCGTAAGAAATTGCCAGTTATTAGTATTAAGCTCAGGAAGGGTCAATGCATTTTTCGAAAAAGGAACACAGGTTTAATGTTTGTCAAATGGCATGATACCAAGGAAGTAATCGTTGTAAGTAATTGTCATTCAACTGAAATGTCGACTATAGAAAAAAAGCTACAAAACGGTCAAAAAGTCAATGTAGACTGTCCCGAAATGATAAAATTTTACAGACAGATAATGGGAGGAGTTGATCGAGCTGACCAAATCGCAGGCCAATATGAATTGGACCGGATGTCCACCAAATGGTGGAAAAAAGTTTTTTATAGACTACTTATGATGTCTGTTGGAAATTCCTGGGTAATCAGTTCTCAGCTGGGACGAAAAAAAAAYCCACTGATTGATTTTATGATAGTTTTGGCTGAAAACATGATTGAAGAGGCAAAGAAGAAGGCATCTGTTCGTCGCAGTGGTATATCTGGTAGAAAAAGAAAAATAAGTGCTGGGCATCTACCGATACAAATTAGCAATCGGAGGCGTTGTGCTGGTTGCGCAGAACAAAAGAAGAAGAGACGTACAAAAACAATATGTGAAGAATGTCAGATTCCACTCTGCAAGGACTGTTTTGCACCTTATCACAAATAAATACTTATTTTCAAATATTTTCATTAATTTCAAATTAATTTTATTTTATAGTCTAATATGAAATATGTATTTCACTTTTGTTTACCGAAAATGTCATTGAATTACAAATAAAATTAGCTTTCATATAAAAACCAGTTGAAATTATATGAAAGCCTTGGGAGCATTAAGTACTGATCGGGATAACTATGTCCCATCGAAAAATACTGACGGGACATATTTGTCCCAACCCCTCCCTCCGCCTCTGATTCATTTAACTAGTTTTTTAATGGAAAATACGTTTTTCCTATACCTGTCATCTCGATTTATTATGCGAAATTTGTTTTATTTACTTCAAGCTTTTCGGATCGAAAGGGTTAAATATATATATTTAAAGCACGAGGAATTGTAAACATAAATATGAGAAAACAAAATAAAGTACGATTTATGAAGAGCACCATAGTTTACAAATTTATTGCAACGAACCATGGACATATCGAATATATCTCAGTAAAGTACAAGAAGCAGGGGCAACAAAAAATTTTGTAACACTCCTTAATTCAAGTTACTAAAATGTAAAAAAATCATTTCTTGAAAATAAATATAAACTATGTTGTAGAAACTAAAAAATATCTCTATTTATTAGTAATAAGTAAAAAAACTACTGAAAGCGCTTTTCTGATCGCAATTTAGGAACTTTTGGGAGCTGCACCTCTACTTTTTGCGCATGGAGTTCATGCGCCTCCTTCGAATGTCTTTCCAATAATACCAACTTATTTTTAATTCCAACAGCTCGTTATTTATTAACTGGTTTTTGGACGTCGTTCTCTTGAGTAGACTTATTTTTATGAACATTTTTCTTCGACTGATCTGCAAGGCGCTTCGTTCTTTCGACAGTACCCTCTACTTTTGTGCAAAAGATGCCTAGTTCATTTGTTAAATATTTTTTTTGGGTAGTCGTAAAACTCTTTTCGTATTTTTAATCAAACATCAACTTATTTTTTTTATTTAATAATAAATAAATGAACAAATATGTACCATTTTAGTCGATTTATTTTTTCCATTTTTCAGCTAGAGACATATTCCATCAGTGTGAATCGAAATTTCGAATTTTCCAGAACGGAAGCGAGCCAACCATTGTTGTGCTACACGAACTGATACAGCTTCGTCTCTGTAAACTTCAGAAGTTTCATTGGTGGCTTGTTCCCTTTTTAAACAAAAAATTTCAAAATATAGAATTTCTTTATTATTTTCAATAATTTTTGCACTGTAACTTTTTTTAACTTCCTCGAATTTTTTTTTCTTTTTTTATTGAAATGAAGCTTAAAACCTCACCTTTCCAACACTGAATATTATGAAACTAGTATTAGAATTGTAACAATTGTGCCTAAAGCTGCGTATTTATTAATTGATAATAAATAGTTTTGGAGATTCTTTAAAATTGCCAATATTAATCAATTTGGAAAAATGAGTATAGAATGTATCTATGCTATTTAGAACAATGTTTCCGAAAATATAAACTCTGGTTGTTATCTGGGAGTTTAAGTACACCAGCTATCCGCCTTCCGCAGAGTAAAATCCTGTTATAGTATCCATCGCAGATATGCAGGCAAGTAAAATCAGTAGCCTTCTGCAATATAGATGTTATTTTCCATGCTAATTCTTTTAAAGCATAGTAATTGTGAACAATCAGCTTTCAGCTTTTTATCACAACCCATTTCTCTTAAAATGTTAACTCACGAACCAAATTCCCAAAAACCTGTGAAATGTATATACGCGACTTTTGAATGTTTTGCTCAAAGACGTGGATAGTGGCACACTTTCATTGAAACGATAAATTTGTTGTTAATTTGAAAAATATGCACCATTTATTGCAATTTAAAGTACAGCATATGAGATACTTAAATTACTTACAGAACTATATATGTATATGTACATAACATACATCTGAAGGATGTATTATTCATTTTGTTAATATTACTATTTTCTTATTTATTAAATTTGTTAGATCCAATGTTCTTCCTGCTATGAACGTACATTACCGAGAAGCGGTGTGTCTTCTGCAGCTTTCGAAATAATAATTGTTCGTTTTGAAGTAGTAGGTTCTGCCTCCTGGCCCTCTTCCACAGTATTTTGAATAGAACGGTCAGTCTGGAATTTATTAAACGTAAATAGATTTCGGCGTTAAAATGCGTAATTATAAATAAACAATGAATGTATGAACTTTTTAATAGCTCAAAAGCAAAATGTATCATTCTCGTAATTATATAGGAAGGCGGAAAGCCTTTGGAAATTGTGAAAAGTGAAAAACTCATAAAAGGTTACACCCTTAGGGAAAGAAAGATAACATAAGAAAAATTAAAAAAGAAACTAAAAAACTTTTTTGCGCACCTCCTATCAAACTGTTGATTCCTTTGTTAGTGCTAGATAGATTTTTTATAGAAGGTTCATGGTATGCCGATTGTCAAAACGATCCGCTTTTCGAAGGGGTAATCGTCACGATTTGAAGATTTCACCACAAAAAAATATTAGCGAATTTCACCAAAATTTAACATAAGAAATTTTCAATGTTTGAAATGTACGCTTATATGTAGATTCGTTTATTTGCAATACGCAAACGCCTCTGTAAACACTTTATAGATATTTTCAATATATTTGATATCAAAGCATATACATAGGTATATCATACGTACAAATAGAACTATTTCATAATGAATTCCATAAAACATTTTGAAATATATAATAAAGTCATGTTTATATTAATACCTAAATATGTAGCTAATTTTGAAGAAAATATCCCATAAACTTCAAATTTGTTTGAGAATGTTTATTATGATTTGAAAGTACATTCTTTGCCATTTATTTTTTGAAGATTGGTGACCGCGGCTATTTCTGAGATGGTCTATCCGTTGAGTCGAAAGCCTGAATCGTATTGTCCGCATAGACATTAGACTTTACAAATCTCCGCAGGCCAAAGTCTATCGGTGTGATATCACACAATCTTGGTGGCCAATTGATTAATGCGATGTATGAGAAGTGAAGTCGTCTTGTTGAAAATACATGTCGATCACGCTCTTTAGATCATGAGCTTCAATTTCAGGCATCAAATAATCTGTTATAATGGCGCGATAACGATGGTTACGACTAAACAAACCACACCGAACCGTTGTTTTTAGGAGGAAATTACAGCTCTTGAATCTCTGCAGGTTGTTCTTTGTCCCAAATGCGCCAATTTTGCGTATTTATTGAGCCATAAATGGACCTAATCGCTGAACAAAACTTGGCTCGAAAACGTCGGATCTTCTTGGAATTTTTCAAGAGCCTAAAGAGTGAAGCATGTCGCTTGGGAAGGTCGAGCTTTCTCTACTCTCCACGGCCTTCGTGTACACTCTCAGCTACGGCTGATATATTTTTTTCACTGCGAACTGCACGTGGGCTATTCGGTTAAATGTTATCCAATAATGAATGCTGGTTCTCAAGGTGGGTGAAAGTTGAACAATTTGTAAACATTCTTCAGGAGTAAGTCTTTCTATGATGAAATGCCAAACAATACTAAACAACATAACATGACAGCCTGATCCGACCCACGCGTGATCTGTCAAAAAAAGGACCTCTACGCACAATGTTTGTAAATTTGTTTGTATGTAAATATGTACACCCATTGTTTCGTGCGAAACCTCCGTTGCCACGGTTTTTGTTTTCATGTCAAATAGTCAATGTGCCGAAGGACAGACGCGACAACAGTGTCACAACATTGTATTTTTGGTAGAAAATCCGAGCTGAAAATTTAAAAAATTTAAATAGGCAATAGCTATATTCTTTCTGTGTTTTGTGGGTTTGCGGGGTTCTCACTTTTTCTTCTAGAAGGGAATATATTTCGAGAGGTTTTATGAAATTAAACAGGTACGGATGCTCAATTTTGCTATCTTCGAATCCCCTGATGTTAGTTGTGGTGAAACACGCTCATCGTTTTCAGCACACCCCCGAAAAGTGAAATCTTATATATTTATAAAAATAAAACGCTATTTCGTTATGTGCCCGCATTACGTCCGAACCACAGCACTTAAAGACTTGAAAATTTGCATAGGTATTTTTTTAGTCCAGGCCCCAACGTAGGCCTTGTAATATATATATATTTTTGTAATATGTACATACATATTTATAATTAGCTGAAAATTGGTGGACAGATAGTTTGGAAATTCGGAATGGGCACAGGCTATGTGTTCATTTTATGTTTACAGCACGCCTACCGGATTTCGGACGCAACTGACTTTCAACAGGTACTGACCGCCATTCACAGTGGAGCTATCAACACCTTCACCGACTCCCTTCCCGTGAATGGCGTCACATACGTATGTATGTCCTGCATGCAACGAGTCTCCGCATGATACTAACCACCTCTTTGCATCCCCTACAAACCCCACTAATCTAACACCCTCCTCCCTTTGGTCCGCCCCGTCGAAACAGCACGTTTCCTGAACCTCCCGTTAGATGACGTCGACGACAACGCAAATGATCCTTACCATCCTAACGGGGATTAGATAACCGTTAACACAACAACCACTGTCCGTAACGTGGATATCCGAAATAATTTATTTTTTAACGTAGAAACGAGTTAGCTTTCTTAACGAGATTGCTCTCTTAAACAAAGGTTGCCAGTCTCGATATTTTGTAGTAAATAAAAAGTCAACTTGAATATATTTGAAATATTCTAAAACTAATTCAAAATTTAAAATAAGTAGGCAGAAACTGGATTTTAGTTTTGATGATTTACATTATCAACAAGTAAAGAGGGGCTAAGTTCGGGAGTATCCGAACATTTTATAGTCTTGGAATTTGCAAAGATCAAAGACTAATAAAACACTCCCAGAGTGTCAACGAGGTTGCTCACATACAATCACCAATCATATGGAGTGTAGTCAGCCGGATGTTCGAAAATCCGGATGATGATGGGGGTTGGGCCTAGTTTTCGCCCATTTTATCTATTTTCACCACAAAGATACACTGATTTGCGGTATAAAGGCACCCGGAAATTGGAAAATTTTTATATTAGGTACATGAAGGCTAAGGGAAGTATTGAACCGATTCAATAAATTTTTGACATACAAACATAATGTCTGGGAAGGATTATCCTTAAATTTCAAATATATATCTCACACTTTGACCGATATTCAAAAGTCAACTATAGATGATGGAGTCACATATTCGGTACCTCGGAGCTTAAGCAGCTTCGATTCGATTTGGACAAATTTTGGCAAAGTCATTATTCGTGCTAGATGAAGAAAGATTAGTAATTTCAGGTTTATTACCACCTGGAGAACCTGGTGTATTTTTTTTTTTATCAAATATATATGGGAAATGGTAAGCACTGCGACAAGAAAACTATAGCGCACATTAAAAATATAGTCAAACAGGGAAATTCGTACAGAGAAGCAGCGAATTTACATCAATTACCCCCTCAAAAAAAAAAAAAAAAAAAAAAAAAAAAAAAAAAAAAAAAAAAAAAAAAAAAAAAAAAAAAAAAAAAAAAAAAAATTGAACCAACTGGATTTCCCAGATTGCAATACGTGACAATAACATTTTCTATCAAAGCAAATATAATTCCTTGTATTCAAAACTCTGCTTGTTTCTTAAAACAAATGAAATGTGATTTGAATGTGGATCTTGAGCACCTATCTGCAAAATGAAAATTTCAAAACAAAAAAAAAACAACGTGCGCCGAATGCTAAAGTTTGTTCAAAAACATGTGATTTTCTGATCTGATGAAATAAAATAAAATTTATTTAATTACTCTGATCGAGGTACTCATGTAGTATAAACCGAAAAACGCAGTCTACAACTATTAATGCACAAATAAAAACCGTTCAACATATGGCGGAATCATAATAGTTTGGCTATCGGTTTGGGGCCAATTCAGGGGATGTAGGGCATCATGGGGGCAACCCATTAAGATGCAATATGCCAAGAATGTACGCGACAGTACATTGAAGATGATATGCCAAGCCCAAACGCACGGCTAAGTATACAAAAGAGAGGTTTAGGCTTAACAACATCGATATAATGAGTGGCCTTCCCAATCCCTGGATCTAAAGGGATATATATATAATATTAAACTAATCAATCAACATCAATTTCATTAATTGTAGATCACCGTCCTTATTAATATTTTTTACTTAACTGTATTATTATCAGTATTTGTTATTGAATTTTTGATATAAATTAATTAAGAGGCTTTTACGTAAATATTTTAACTTACATTATATTTGTGTAAGTTGTGTAAATACAGTGTACTTAGGGACATATCTGCAACTGTAATATCAATTGGGTTTGATATTTTTGAGTCGATTCCATATAGACTGTAATAAAAAGAAGCCAATGGAATTATATATTAAATCCTACACTTGGAATATTTACGGAGTAAATGTGACTTTATTATACTTACTTATACAATAGTGCTTCTGACGGTCCCTGCAGTCGTCCTTCTACTTTGCTAATACGCAATTTGCGCATATTTTCCAAAGAATTGTCGCAAGAAGTTTGTATCCTCAACATATTTCCTTCTTGTTCACCAAAGCTTTGTTGAAGCATTTGTTCAAAACCACTAGTTTGAGGAATATTCGGAGTGGGATGATATTTTCTGTCATAGTATTTGTTTTGATTTATAGACTGTTTAATCGACGATGTTAATAATTCCGCCCTTTGAACATTATGTGCATTAAACACAGATGTAGCCAAAGACGAATACTGGAAATATAAAACATATAAGTATATATATATTTCAGGAATATAAGTATATTAAATAATAATATGGTTACAAACCTCAGCATCGATTGTGCCAAATGAAATTAAACTTTCAGTTATAGGACTTGTTTTGTTATCTGTATCTTTTATCAGTGCGTTTCTCAGTTCTTCCGCAGCATGTTCTCTAATATCATTCAGAAAATTTACGGCATCTGGTGGGGCTTTCCATTCTGGGTTGGTTAATGTAAATCGGATTAATGAAAGTTCCGTTTTACCGTTGTCCATTACGCTCTTTGTCGTACTATCTTCAACGTTTCCTTTTTGTTTTGTATTAGGCGTAGGAAGTTGCCAATCAGGGTTGCCATGTTTTCTAACATCCAATTGAGCAAATGAGCATACATTTCCAACACCCTTTACACTTACTGTAAAACTTCTAAAGAATTTTACTAGCTCCAGTGATTTTGGACGGAATACAAACATTAATATAAATGGAGTTACAAGCGGACTAACAATTTCATTTAACAAGTAACCCTGTAAATGTTGAAAATAAAGTATGTACAATTATTTTTATTCATAATTGAACTCTATTAAAAAACTTACCGCTTTAAATTGAAACAAATTTTCAAATTCTTTTCTTACAGCCACTGTATGCGCTCTATTCTTCCAATTAGATGGTAGATAATGCACATGCGCTAATATTGCGGTCATCAATTGTTCTGGGCACCATATTAAATTTTCGTCCGGAATCATAGTTCTGAATTTAAATGGATATTTTGTTGATAATATAAATTTAAGTGTAATTTGTGATTTTATGAAAATTGTAATGTCCAGTAGGAATAATAAATTCTCGCAACACGTTGCTACAAATTAAAATAGTTTTCTATGTCTAACTGCGTGTATCTTCTAATATTAATCGATATAGATATGGAATTAGTTATTTATAAATTATTAGGATGTCAGAAATAATAAATAATAATAAATCCTAGTTACTGTGTGTCTATCCGTCTGTCCGTACACGCTGCAAATGGAGTAAAACTTGAGATATCTCATATCGTGAAACTTGCTACATATGTATGTTAATTGACACCTAAGGACGGTTTGATTGAATATCGGATCATTGACACCCCCACAAGACGGTATTAAATGAAAACATATAAAGCATTCCAAATTATAATATAAAAATGCAATTTGACACAGGTTATCGCAGTAGTGAAAGGCACTTGTAAACTGAACATTTTTCAAAAGCATGCATAGCCCTGCCACGAAGGGTTGGGTGAAATCAGATTATATCCACACCCACTTGTTATATAACGGTTATGTAGAAAACTAACTAAATTTTTTTGTACTAAAAAAATACGTCAGTAACATTAATTTTTACAAATAAGATAATAATAGCTAAAACGGATCAATACTTAGGTGTAATCATCGAAATAAATTACGTTGAAATCATTAAAATTTTATCAAAAATAAAATTTTGGCATTTGTAAGTATTTCTGTGCAAAAATACTTAACACTAAATAATTTTAAAATGGATACTTTGAGACAGAAACAAAAACACACCAAGAAAAATAACTTTGAAGTACATAATTTAGGGATTTTCTCAAAGCGTTTATATTATCTGTTATATCGGTTTATTTATAGGTTCTAACTTAAACAAAAATGAAATGTAAAAGGAATTAATTTATCAATAATTTTTTTATTAATTTGTACATAACATGCAAATTTTCCATTAAAAATTCTTTTCGTGTCGAATTCGATGTTACTCAATATGAGGGATATTTTTATGAAATTAAGTGGACAATTTTTCTAAGATATAACGCAATTTATAATGCTGGATATGACTATTGGTTTAGACTTTGGTAATTAAAATAAAATAAATAAATAGCAAATAAGATTGTAATACATTTGGTTTCTTCATATAATGCATTCTGAATTCTTACACACATTTTTTTAATAGAGTTCCGCCAACATTTTATTTATATTTAAAATTCTATAGCACTTGCGGTCCTCTATACAAAATACTTGGTCACAAAGAGAAGTTAATATAAATAAAATTTAAAATTTGAAGGAGGACAATTTTTCGGTGCATAAAGGGAGATTCGGAAAATACGAAAAAATATAAAGTGGTAGGGAATAATTAATTGTAATATATGATTACTCCTACATAATTTTCTTTTAAAAATCATGTTTGAATTGATATATTATATTGTTGCCTCATTGCCACATTTCGATTTTTTAAAATGCTAAAAATTTAAAGGTGCTAACGGTAAATTTATTTTTATGTATTATTCATTTTTTGTATGATGATATTATTTAAATTTACCTGCATATCAATCCAATAACAGAGAGAATAGTGATAATCGTTAATACGTGCTCCACTTGGAAAACAAATTCGTCATATATACCTAATGCTAAAATTAATACCAATATTCCTCCGGATATAAAAAGTATATTCCTGAAATGTATTTATTTAGTATTATCTTAGTACTGTTATCTTTATGCATAAACCGACCTTGCAACAACGGCCATTAACGGTGAAGAGAACGAGCTTAGATATCTATCTGCATATTCATAAGCACGATTTAAACGTGCATCTAATTCATGTTCTAATTCATTAAAGTGTCGCAAGTATAAGCGACCATAATTAGACCATGTTCGCATTCCTAATGTCCCTGGTTCTTTTCTTAAAATCTGTTGAAAGAAAATTAATTTATATATGTAATTAACTATTTTTGAATATTGAAATCTAGGCTAAATAATTCCAATACGAATCATTTTTATTTTGTCAAAAGTAGTCAAAATAAAAGCTATAGGTTTTGCTGGTTATATGGTTTTTTTTTTTTTGTATCACAGTAATTTGAGATATGGTATTTAAATTTTTTAAGTTATTGTCATAGCATTATTTAAAAGATGCAACGATATCATTTTTAGTTTATTGTGTACTTCCATCATTTCCAGAATGGAATAGTTATGGTCGTTAAGTAACACTTCCAGCAAGAGGCTGTTATTTCAGCTATTTCAGTAGTAAGTCGTTAATTCGATAATCTAAGATATATACAGGTATGCATGTACTATATAATACTTACATTAGCGTATGAAAATAGGAAATATAAGCACTGCCACACAAAAATAACTGGAGCCAATATTAAATTTGCTACTGCCACCCACATAATAAGTTTTGACAATCGTTGAGCTAATTCGACTTGATTGGTACGAAAGTTGAAGTCATCTCGAAGTTGCCAATTATTCTGAAATGGTGAACCAGGTCCTTCTATAAATAGAATATAGTATATAATTTAACTGAAAGACATTTTCTCATATTTTCGTTGTTATTGTGCAGAAAACCATACTTCATATTTATTAGAATGTGGGTCCATAACTATAAACGTACGTTTTTTCTAAAATTTTAACTTTTATTAAAAAAAACAGTTAAATTTGAAGCTAAACATTTTCCCAATTTCTTGCTAATTGGTTGATTCCACTCCAGAAGAACTGCAAAAAGTAAGGCCAACCCCTGTTCTGTCAGAATAGAAAGGATATGGCTATAAGGCGGGTGACGCAAAGCTTCCTAGCCGCTGTTCTCTAAATAGTTTTTGAACGTTTTGGCAACAAGAAATTCATTATTGCTTCTCGTTTATGGTTAATCTAATGCAAAAACGACATCGAAATTGAAATGTTATAGCACACAATATCCTTGCTTCGGAATATATCCGTATGTTTTCAAACGTTTAGAAATGGCTGGTTTAATGGCTCCCATATAAATTTAAACCTCCTCTGGTTTTTGCTAACAATCTTCATTGAGTAATGTTTCTAGCAGAGAACTTATAATATAGAGAAGATTCACGGTGCTGCCAATTTTACGATATTTCATTTTTTGGAGGCGTACTCTTTTCTATTAGTGGATTTCACCACAAAAGAAGGGGTACTCTTTTTTATAAGCGGATTTTACCAATATTTAACAGGAGCGTCGAAAATAGCAGAATTGAGCATTTTCAGTGATAAATGAGAAAAATTATGCTAACTTCAATGTTTAGAAATGTACCGTTACAGATTCGCATATTTACAATGCGCATGCGACTATGGATATCATTTATATGTAGATATTCTCCATATATTTGATAACAAAGCTCATTCGTATTTATGTATGTATGAATGTGAAATTTGACCTATTTAATGATAAATTCCACTAGATCTGTTGGAATTTATAATAAAGTCATATTTCCATTACTACCTAAGTAAATATATGTATGTATATATTGGGAATTAGAGGTTTTGATAACATTTTAAAGACCAAGCCGAGCCACATATTCGCATATGGATGCAATTATGTGTACATATAAACAGATTTTTAAAAACCATAACCGTAATGATAATTTTTTTTTGATAAAATCCTGTTTTTATAAAATCTTAAAAGTCATATGCATATAAGTATGTGTATATGTAAACAGATTTAAAAAACGGTACTCATAAAGATCACAAATTCACATATGTATGTAATTTTGTGTTCATGTTAACAAATTTGAAAGAATCATTCGCATAATGTTTGTAAACTCAATTTTTTATGTAAATATATACACTTCTCTTATACAACACTAGATGTGTATAAGAGACAGGCATATAAGTATGTGTATATGTAAACAGATTTAAAAAACGGTACTCATAAAGATCACAAATTCACATATGTATGTAATTTTGTGTTCATGTTAACAAATTTGAAAGAATCATTCGCATAATGTTTGTAAACTCAATTTTTTATGTAAATATATACACTCATTGTTTCCTACATAAACCTAAATAATCACGGACAACCAATGGCCGAACTTCACGTTCTGTAAAAATGTCAATGTGTCTAAGGACTGACGCGACGACAAAGCGTCACAGCTTTGGGAAAATCCAAGCTGTACCGAAAAAAACGAATGGCCGCCGATTCGCCTACAACGCAGCGTAAATATGTACATATGTTTATGCGCGAGCTTACATATCGACGCAGCTGCGCAAAAATATTTCAAAATTACAAAATATTTTTCACATACAAATACAGTCAATACTGGTTACGTGCCTCATTCAAAGGTACGGATGTTTGCAATTAGATAAAAATAAAAATATAATATGGTACATAAGTGACTGCGGATACGTAAAAGAGTCGTATTTAAAGCATTAATTTCTTAGTATTTAAAAAAAACAAACCGTGAGATGCAGCAAGGTATTATATACATATATTGTTAAGAGTGATGAGGGTGGGATTTTATTTACACATGAATCAGAGGAATATTGAATATTTTCTTTGAAACATTYCTTGAATTGAAAATCGAAAAATAAACGTTGTCAATTCTATTGTAATATATTTTAGTACTTATATTTGCGGGGATGACACTTTTTCCTTCTCATACATTTCATAAATATATTCAATTTATGATTTTTGGCTTTTGAAATCGTCACGAAAAGACACGCTGGGGGAGATGTGGCGTTTGCTTGTATGAATGAATCGAATATGCTTTTTCAAAAAGAAATTTTGACGTCGGCCATATTGATTTCTGATGCTGGTGACACATATACATGTGAAAGCATATATGTAAGTATGTATGTTGTGTATGCATTTTTTGAATGGGAATGTCACGCACATATTTACATGTGTACTCATATTGTAAGTATGTACATATGATGATGTTTGAGACGATTGTTGTTTTTTCAGAAGAATATTTGTATTTTTTCATTTACATGCGTACGCATATATTATTTGTGTGAGAATGTCATACGCACATACACATATATGGACATATGTACATATATGATTACATTTTACATATGTATGTACGTAAATATAGAGAAGCGCGCGCTTTTTACATTTCTGATAAATGATGCCTTGATTTGAAATTGATTTGTACTTGTATACATATCTGCCGGATAGATGCGTATGAAAGTTTTAAATGATAAGAGGTGTGATTTATGTACATACATATATTATTATTGTAATATATTATGTTTTTAGGATATTACGATAATATTTCATACATGTATATAGCATATATACACATATATGTACATGCATACGAAATTATACAATATTATGAAAGATAAGAAATATTTAAAAAGTAGTTTTTGTTTGGACATTAACTACAAATTTTACCATGAAAATAGCGTAATTCAATAATGATGAAATCAATTTTGCATGAATTCACAAAAATTCGCAAAATGGTATTCATATCAATTGATATGATTGCATGTAAACGTATAAAAATATAAGCAAACGAGTAACATACATCTGTAATAGCAATGTATATTTCTGAGCATAATTTTCATTCAATGCTCAGCTCTGTTCACTCATTTCTGTTAAAAATTCTCCTTCTCAGCCATAAGGGGTGAAATCCGCTAATACGATTTTGTTAGCTCTTGACAGTTCACACGCCTGTCCGCAATTGAACCTTCTGTATATTACACGTTCTCTGTTTCTAGTCCTTCAACTTTTCTGTTCGTTCAGAACGTATTACGTCTTCAAAGCCAAAATCATCACTTTTAAATCGCACGGTCAGTAGAAAACCTCATGAATATAGATATAGACCCTATAAAAGAAATCCTTTTTAACTTACTGAATAGTATAAAATGTATATTAAACAAAAGTCCACGACTCAACGTCACATATTCTCCAAGCAGTGGTATATTAAATTTTACAGGTAGAAGGTTTTTGTTCATAAGAGCTACCATATAGTTTTTAAATCTGCAATAGAAAAAATAAAACGACATGAATGTCTACATTTGGCTGCTTTACGGTAAATAAATAATTAATATACGTTAATATTTTCCATTCAAGTAAAAGTAAATATTTGAATTTTATTTCATCGGACAAAAATCAAAATTTGTAAATTTACTGATTATTAGACAAAAATAGGTGACCTTTTTTAAAAAAAACTCGCTTATTCTATAATCAATAAAAAATTTAGACCCAATATAATCAATATCAAAATGCAAAGTTTTGAAGGGATTAAACAAATTTGTGAGTGCGGCCGATTATGTTATACAAGGTGTTTCGGCAAAATCAATCTATTTATTCAAAATAGTCTTCTTCTGTTTCAATGCAGATTTTGGCACGGTCCAAAAGCATGTTTTAGCTCGTTGGCCAATATGGCCGCCAGTATGCCGGTTCAAGCCTTTTGAATGGCCTCTACGCAAATGGATTTTTCCGAAAAGAAAAAGTCGCACGGTGCCATATTGGGTGAATACGGGGAGTGGTTACTCATCAATATATTAGAGGCTTCACAAATTTTTGTACATTAGAATTTAATTTAATTTAGTTTTTATACATCAGAAACTCGTCATTTTTCATTTAGTAAAGCCGTGATGTCAGGTTTTACGCAAAGCTCTGTACAATATATCTTGTTATGCTTCTACTTAGGACAAAATGATTGGTAATACATTTTCCAAAAAAAACAAAAAAAAAAAAAAAAAATACGTACCTTAAAATTCGATGATATATGTCCAATTCCGTCAATTGCTCTTTATCAATACACATATGCTGCTCAGACTGGACTTCTCTTATCTTCATTTTTACTTCATGCCACGTTGTGTTATCTATTTCTTTCTGTACAAATAATATTTTTGTAGCATGAAATATAAAGTTATTGTATATATACAGCTATGGACATATAAATGGCACATTTTTATAGCTTATTTCTTGTGTTACAGTATCATAAATCTTTTTATTTTTTTTATAAATAACAAGTTTTTGGGTTTTTCTAAAAGGTACATTCTTTATCTTCAATAACAGTACAAACTGAAGTTACAATTCATTGTTAAAAAAGTAATGATCAATATACAATAACTTTGGTATAATAAGGTGGACACATAAATGGCACAACCTAAAAAAGATGGACAATTTAGTTCATATCGCAATTTTATAAATTTTGTTCCGTACAGACATTTTTATTGTTAATTCTTTGTACTGTAAACTTTATTTTTAATGACTGCTTTACACCTGCGTACCATACTTTCTACGATATTCTGACCATAAACCTTTTCAATTTCAGCCTTGTCTTCATTGCAAAGGTTTTCAATTGGTTTTAAGACCAATCCAAAATATCTATCCTCTCCGCAGAAAACCAAGTTTTTTATTAGCTCCGAGGCGTGTTTGGGATCGTTGTCTTTAATAAATTTCCATTTAATTGGGATAGACTCAAAATTATTTGGTTCCCTATGGTCTTTTAAAATGTGCCAGAACTGAAACTTGTCAACTTTTTCATCGATTATTACCATAATATAGTGTACTTAGAATTATATTCTTGGTACTAAGGACGATGTACAAATATTCTGATATCTGGACGCACCATGTTAAGCTTTTCTTTCTTCACTTCACTTTTTCCAAAAATTTAAGCTGTTCTTTTATTGAACTTTGATCAGTCTTTTTGAAATATTTGTTTCTGAAAGGATTGGTTTCTCCTCGATATCGTCCGAACAACTTTGCCTGATTCCGACATCTTTTAACAAGTCTTGTCCAGAGTTTGTACGCGGATCCGTTTTACGTGGTCTTGGCTTCCGAATCCTGCCTTTGATCAGTACTTGGGAATTCGCCATACATGATTTGATTGCGTTGTATACTTTTTTATGAAAAATTTAAATTAGTTTAGGAAATTCGGCCCCTTTTTGCCCGTCTTTATACATGCTCCAAATTATTCGCCTTTCTTCTATTGTAGTATGCTTTCCGGGCCCAATTTTATATTATTTCTTTTACAAAAATACTTTTAGTACCACTTTAGTACTACTTCTGCAAAGTAATCTGTGCCATTTATGTGTCCTCTCAAAATCAGCATTGACTCCACATTATTGATAACGGTAAACAAAAGTAAAACATAACGGAATATTTGGGCAGTACAGTACAACTCTAGTACAGCATCTCCAAATTGAATGGAAAATTAATTAATTAACTWTAAATAAAACAATTCTAGCATTTATATGAAATCAAACTTTGTACGATTTATGTGTCCATAGCTGTATGCAAATACTCTTCTATTATGTCTAAACATGATTATACATTATTTACCATTAAATAGTAAATAAATTAATATATAAACTATGAGCAATTTTAATAAAACAATTTTAACTACATTATTATTAGAACTAACATATATGTATTCAAATATTACTATTCACATACTTCGTCAATGTGGAGAGCGGTTTGATAGAATTTTTTCATATCCATATATTGAGTTATTAAAGAAACAACTCGCAAAAAATGAACAACGAAATAAAGTATTGCTAGAAGGAATAACAAATATGTAAAAGCATTAAAGTTGGCTATGCATTGCCTTGTTGGAATAACAACGTCTCTTAAAGTAACTTTGGTATGGTTACTCGGTGGTGGAGAGTCTCTGAAAATATAACACATATATATTTAATATTTTAATTTTGCAGAGTTTTATATTTTATAAACAAATTTACATAAAATTCGCAATTTTATGACAATTTTTGAAATTTTCATGAAAACTATTTTGTCCAGTGAACTGTTGTTATCTATTTATCTCATTTGTATTTTAATTTATTATACCGCCACTAAGGAATGTCTTGTGAAAATTCGGTATTTACTTTGTGATACGCGACGCGATTATAAATAGCAGAATTGGTTATATACATAAGTTTGTTCGAATAGTAGGAGATTGTTATATTTAAATTATCTTAATTTTAATTAAATTGAAGAAAATACACAAGGTAATATATTTTAATTTGTAATATGTTTTAGTTTTTCATCCGGAAGTATTTCAAAAAATGAGGTATCATTTCCATATTTAAACAATGTTTTGAATATCACATAACATATAAATGTTAAATTTTTCCGCTTCCATAATATTACTTTAACTTTTCCTCAAAAATATATAAATTTACTTTAGTTCCTATCATTTACAACGTTTTCTTTTAATATTTCGCCACAGCGTCGTCTTTTGCATAATTTTTAAGGTATTCAATACTTGGGTACCCTTGCAACATGCATGAATGAAATATCTGAAAAAATTTCGAGCTTATGAAGTAAATTATCCTTCCAAAAAGGAACTACAGTAAAGGACAAAACTATTCACGAAAATACTAATATTTCATTTAAATGTTAGAAATTTTATTAGACAATACACAATTAAAAATAAAAATAATGTTTTCTTGTCCACGTTCAAGTCCGACTATATTATATTTAGACTTGGGAGTTATGAGTCCTCCAGAATATCAATATAATTTGTGGTACGCATTATACCGTCTATCTTCTGAAATACTGCCAGCTCTTTTCCGCAAAAATATCCCGAAGTCATCAGTGATCCACCTCCAAATTCCATGTCCATGATCCGAATCTGATCCTATTCGACTTATATTGGTTTTATCGGACCAAGTAAATTCTTCCTATTATCGATGCTGAAGTGTTCATAATTTTTTTTTGGCGAAGTCTCATCCAGCCTTACTTTCTTTTCACTTAAGAACAGTTCTTTACCGTGTTTTAGCCTCTCGTTATCAAATAAATCTTATTTTATAAAAAAAAAAAAAAATGAAATTTTAAAAGTTTTCGACATATGTGGTTGTGTAGTCTTCAAAAAAAAACCAAAAATTTTATATTACTGCATCATATGGACACTTTTTTTTTATAATGATTTTGTTTTTAAAAAATTATGTAATAATTACACTGGATCACAAATTTGAATTTGTTTTTTGTTCCACGGATTTGTATGTGAAATGGCTCGCTGATTTCGAAAAGTAAATTTTTTTTTATGGATACGTTTTTGAGATATTTGCAATTTACCTTTATTCGACCAAAAAAAAAAAAAAA